ACACTTTTCCCCCAAACCTTTTCCCCCCCTTTTCCCCAAAACCTTTTCCCCAAAACCTTTTCCCCCAAAACCTTTCCCCCAAACCTTTTCCCCCCCCTTTCCCCCCCTTTTTTTTCCCCCCCTTTTTCCCCCCCTTTTTTCCCCCCCTTTCCCCCCCTTTTTTCCCCCCTTTTTTTCCCCCCCTTTTTTCCCCCCCTTTTCCCCCCCTTTTTTTCCCCCCCTTTTTTCCCCCCCTTTTTTTCCCCCCCCTTTTTTCCCCCCCCTTTCCCCCCCCTTTTTTCCCCTTTCCCCTTTCCCCCCCTTTTCCCCCAAAACCCTTTTCCCCCCCCTTTTCCCCCAAAACCTTTTCCCCCAAAACCTTTTCCCCCCCCTTTTCCCCCAAACCTTTCCCCCAAACCTTTTTCCCCCAAAACCTTTCCCCCCAAAACCTTTTCCCCCCCCCCCTTTTTTCCCCCAAAACCTTTCCCCCCCTTTCCCCCCCTTTTCCCCCAAAACCTTTTCCCCCCCTTTTCCCCCCCTTTCCCCCCCCTTTCCCCCAAAACCCCCCCCTTTCCCCCCCTTTTCCCCCCCCCCCCTTTCCTTTTCCCCCCCTTTTTTTCCCCCCCTTTTTTCCCCCCCTTTTTTTCCCCCCCTTTTTTCCCCCTTTTTTTTCCCCCTTTTTTTCCCCCCCTTTTTTCCCCCCCCCCCCCCCCCCCCCCTTTTTCCCCCCTTTTTCCCAGTACCACTCTTGTCCCAGTATTGACCCTTGCCCCAGTACTGCACTCTTGTCCCCCAGTCCCAACCCTTTGTCCCAGTACTGACCCTTTTCCCAGTACTTAACTCTTGCCCCAGTACTTAACTCTTGTCCCAGTACTGCACCTTGTCCCAGTACTCACTTTCCCCCAAAACCTTTTTCCCCCAAAACCCCCCCCTTTACACTTTTCCCCTTTCCCCTTTCCCCCAAAACCTTTTCCCCCCAAACACTTTCCCCCCTTTAACTTTCCCCAATTTTTTTAATACCCTTTTTAATCCTTTTTTAATACCCTTTTTCCCCAATCCCCTTTTCCCCAATACCCTTTCCCCCAACTTTCCCCCCGACTTTTCCCCCCCCAATTTCCCCCCCCTTTTCCCCCAAAACCCCCCCCCCCCCCCCCCCCCCCCCCCCTTTTTTTTTTTTTCCCCCCCCCCCCCCCCTTTTTTCCCCCCCCCCCCCCCCCCCCCCCCCCCCCCCCCCCCCCCCCTTTTCCCCGTACTTTCCCCCCAACTTTCCCCCCCAACTTTTCCCCGTACTTTTCCCCGACTTTCCCCCCCCCCCCCCCCCCCCCCCCCCCCCCCCCCCCCCCCCCCCCCCCCCCCCCCCCCCCCCCCCCCCCCCCCCCCCCCCCCCCCCTTTTTTCCCCTTTTAATCCCCTTTTTAATACCCCCTTTTTAATCCCCCCCCCCCTTTTTTCCCCCCCCTTTTCCCCCCCTTTTTTCCCCCCCCCTTTTCCCCCCCCTTTTTTCCCCCCCTTTGTCCCAGTACTGCACCCTTTTCCCAGTACTACACTCTTGCCCCAGTTACACTTTTGTCCCAGTACTCACTCTTGCCCCAGTACTACACTCTTGCCCCAGTTCACCCTTTTCCCCCCCTTTTTTCCCCCCCCTTTTTTCCCCCCCTTTCCCCCCCTTTTTTTCCCCCCCTTTTTTCCCCCCCTTTTTTTCCCCCCCTTTTTTTCCCCCCCTTTTTAATTTTTTTAATCCTTCTTTTTCCCCCCCCCCCCCCCCCCCCCCCCCCCCCCCCCCCCCCCCCCCCCCCAAAAACCCCCCCCTTTTTTTTTTTTTTCCCCCCCCCTTTTTCCCCCCTTTTTCCCCCCCCTTTCCCCCCCTTTCCCCCCCCCCCCCCTTTCCCCCCCCCCCTTTTCCCCCCCTTTTCCCCCCCTTTTCCCCCCTTTCCCCCCCCTTTTCCATTTGCCCTTTCCCCTTTGGTCCCCCCCCGTCCCAAAACCCCCCGCCCAATTTTCCCGTCCCCTTTTTCCCGTCCCAAAACCCCCCGCCCAAAACCCCCCGCCCAAATTTCCCCGTCCCAATTTTCCGTCCCCCCCCGCCCAAACCCCCCGTCCCAAACCCCCCGTCCCCCCCCTTTACCCCCCCCTTTTTTTTACCCTTTTTAATTTTTTTAATTTCCCCCCCCCCCCCCAAAACCCCCCTTTCCCCCAAACACTTTTAATCCCTTTTTAATCCCTTTTCCCCAATCCCTTTTTTAAATACCCTTTTTTAATACCCTTTTTTTTTCCCCCCCCCCCCCCCCCCTTTCCCCAATACCTTTTTCCCCAATTTTTTTAAATACCCTTTTTAATCCTTTTTTAATACCCTTTTTAAACCCCCCCCCCCCCCCCCCCCAATTTTTTTAATCCCTTTTAATCCCCTTTTAATACCCTTTTTAATACCCCTTTTTAATTTTTTAATTTTTTTAATACCTTCTTTTAATCCCTTTTTAATTACCTTTTTTAATTTCCCCCGGTCCCAACCCCCCGTCCCCCCCGTCCCAAACCCCCCGTCCCCCCCGGCCCCTTTCCCCCCCCCCCCCCTTTCCCCCCCTTTCCCCCCCCTTTCCCCCCCTTTCCCCCCCTTTCCCCCCCTTTCCCCCCCTTCCCCCCCCCCCCTTTTTCCCCCCCTTCCCCCCCCTTTTCCCCCCCCCCCCCCTTTCCCCCCCCTTCCCCTTTAATTTCCCCATCCTGTCCCTTTTAATTTTCCCTTTTCCCATTTGTCCCTTTTCCCATCCCCATTTTCCCTTTTCCCAATTTTTTGCCCTTTCCCATTTTCCCTTTCCCCATTTCCCTTTTCCCATTTGCCCTTTTCCCATTGCCCCCAATTCCCCTTTTTCCCATTTGCCCTTTTCCCATTTGCCCTTTTCCCATTTGCCCCCCGACTTCCCCTTTTCCCATTTGTCCCTTTTCCCATTTGCCCCTTTTCCCCCCCCTTTCCCCCCCCCCCCCCTTTCTTTCCCCCCCCTTTCCCCGGAAACCCTTTCCCCTTTAACCCTTTTCCCAAAACCCCTTTTTCCCCTTTCCTTTCCCCCAAACCCTTTCCCCCAAACCTTTCCCCCAAAACCTTTCCCCCTTTTCCTTTCCCCCCCTTTTCCCCCAAACCTTTTCCCCTTTTCCTTTTCCCCCAAACCCTTTTAATCCCTTTTTTTTTTTTTTCCCCCCCCCCCCCCCCCCCCCCCCCCCCCCCCCCCCCCCCCCCCCCCGTACTTTTCCCCCAATTTTCCCGCCCCCCCCGTCCCAAAACCCCCCCCCTTCCCCCCCCTTCCCCCCCCTTCCCCCCCCTTTCCCCCCCTTTCCCCCCCTTTCCCCCCCTTTCCCCCCCTTTCCCCCCCTTTTCCCCCCCTTCCCCCCCCCCCCCCCTTTTCCCTTTCCCCTTTCCCCCCCTTTCCCCCCCCCTTTCCCCCCCTTTTCCCCCCCCTTCCCCCCCCCCCCCCCTTTTCCCCTTTTCCCCCCCTTTTTTTCCCCTTTTCCCAACCCCCCCTTCCCCCCCCCCCCCCCTTTTTTTCCCCCCCTTTCCCCCCCTTTTCCCTTTCCCATTTTCCCTTTTAATTTTCCCCTTCCCCATTTGTCCCTTTCCCAACCTTTCCCCCCTTTCCCTTTCCCCCCCCCCCCCTTTCCCCCCCCCCCCCCCCCCCCCTTTTCCCCCCCTTTCCCCCTTTTCCCCCCAAATTTTCCCGTCCCCCCCCGTCCCCTTTTTCCCGTCCCCTTTTTCCCGCCCCCCCGCCCCCCCCGTCCCCCCCGTCCCAAACCCCCCGTCCCAAAACCCCCGTCCCCCCCCCGGGCCCCCCCCCCGTCCCCCCCGTCCCCCCCCCCCCCCCCCCCCCTTTTTACCCCTTTTTAAAAACCCCCCCCCCCCCCCCCAAAAAAAACTTTTTTCCCCCCCTTCCCTTTTTTCCCAAATTTCCCCTTTTTAAAATTTTCCCCCCCCTTCCCCTTTTCCCTTTTTCCCCCTTTTCCCCCCCTTTTTTCTTTCCCCCGTTTTTTTCCCCCCCCCAGTACTTTTTTTTTTCCCGGGTTTTTTTCCCCCAAAACCTTTTAATTCCCCAACCCCCCCCCCTTTTTTTCCCTTTCCCTTTTGTCCCTTTTCCCAAAACCCCTTTCCCCCCTTTTTACTGTACTCTTGTCCCAGTACTGCACCCTTGTCCCAGTACTGCACTCTTGTCCCAGTACTGCACTCTTGTCCCAGTACTGTACTCTTGTCCCAGTACTGCACTCTTGTCCCAGTACTGCACCCTTGTCCCAGTACTGTACTCTTGTCCCAGTACTGCACTCCTGCCCAGTACTGTACTCTTGTTCCAGTACTGCATTCTTGCATACACTCAGTCTTCGAGCTGAGGGGTATGAGCTACGAGGAAGGTCTACTGGAACTAAACCTCACGACACTGGAAGACTGAAGAGTAAGGGGAGACATGATCACCACCTATATAAATTTTCAGAGGAATTTAAAGGGCAGATAAAGAAACTATTTAACACGGGTGGTTCACGGACATAGGGACACAGGTGGAAACTGAGTACCCAAATGAGCCAGCGAGACATTTGACAGAACTTTGTCAGTGTCAGAGTAGTTAACAAATGGAATGGTTTATGCGGTGATGTAGTGGAGGCTGACTCCATACACAGTTTCAGATGTAGATATAACAGAATCCAATATGCTGAGGAACCTGTACACCGGTGTATTAACAGTTAGGAGCCAGGACCCAAAGGCCGAAGCTCAACTCTCGCAGGTACAACTAGGTGAATACACTGCTTATAAGACTAATATAAACCTTTCTTCAGGTGTTGGAATAGTCTTTTGAGTGTTTTTCTTGGCTGTTAATTTCCCCGCGTCACATATATACTGCTCTGCTGGTAAACCTATTACCAGTGTTAAAGTTATAAATTAACGTATTATCCTTGATAAACACTCAAACTAAGGCGCACTAAATGGTTAAGAAGGTATAATAATCCTTCCTCCAGTACTCAATCAGTACATAATACAAGCGTTTTATTTTTCAGTCTGATCTCTACAACTACAACCCTCAGCCTGTGGACATGACCAACCTGACACTGTCAAGGGAGATGCAGAACATGGCTGAGCGTCTGGCCGAGAACGCTCACGATATTTGGGCCAAACGCAAGAAGGAGGAGCTGGACGCTTGCGGTCAGTAATGGATCAGTTTTGTGTTGTTAGGTGTCTGCGCTGGCAACATTCTCCATGGGGTGTCTGCGCTGGCAACATTCTTCATGGGGTGTCTGCGCTGGCAACATTCTTCATGGGGTGTCTGCGCTGGCAACATTCTTCATGGGGTGTCTGCGCTGGCAACATTCTTCATGGGGTGTCTGCGCTGGCAACATTCTTCATGGGGTGTCTGCGCTGGCAACATTCTCCATGGGTTGACTTGTTGGTGACCTACTCTAGTACCCTCCGGGTGTTTCAACACACCAGAATGTTAGGGATGGTCACAGTACTCATGCCCCAGTACTGTACTCTTGCCCCAGTACTACACTCTTGCCCCAGTACTACACTCTTGCCCCAGTACTACACTCTTGCCCCAGTACTACACTCTTGCCCCAGTACTACACTCTTACACGCAGTTGACTACACAGTCAACCGTTGGCAATATTTGTATTAGCCTTCGCTCTAGTGGCTTCTCGAATCATTGTGTAAAGCATCTAAGTTCCAGCAGTCCTAACTAAGTTCAGGTGAAAGGCAAGATCATTTTGTTTCAAGAAGTATTCACTAATTATGTTTCCCATAATTAGTGAATACTTCTTTATACTGCTTTTTTCGTGTGAAAATGATGGACAATATATTATTATATAATACAATTCTAATTTCTGTTGAATATCGGTTATGAAGGAACCTTGAATGTTCGTATTTCACCATTGACCCATATGAGCAGCGGTAGGACAGGCGTGGGCAGGTGGAAGACAAGTGTGGTATGCCAAGTGATGCTCAAGATGACAGTGATGGCGAGACGGATAATGTCACTACAGCGTCTTGACATTATTACCTTGCGTGACATTGTATGAGAAATCTGTACGTCCTGAAAGAAAGTGACTGGGAATGGTGGCTGCAATCATGGTCGTTTGAGATGTTGAGACCTAAGAAAATATATGTTCTCTCGAGTGTTTTTGACGATCAATGAGATTCTTGTTGCTTTTAGACGCAGATATTAATTTACAGTAAATACACAAAATCTGGCAAAGTATGGAATAAAAATACACACAATAGCTGATGACAGACCTTATTTTGCTAGCATGATGGAGATTTATTGAGCAAAACAGCCAGAGGGCCCACAAATAATACACAATTCTGCCTCTGCTGTACACACAACGCTTATTTGAGATGTGTCAGCATCTACCAGATATGTCATACACGGCATCACAGACCCCCACATTCTGCACTTGAATGAAAATAGACGTTGCCATGGTCAGTCACATGGCGGGAGGACACTACACGTCAAGAAATTCCCAACGTTTGTCACAGGCAGTTCTCTACGAACTTCTGAATGTTTCAGCAATTAATTTATATATTTCTTATGGTTACAACTATTAGAGCAAGTGAAAGACCCGCTTATTTAAAGAATTTATGGGGGAAACCAGTATAAGAACTATTAAAGAAGAGAGCGCCGACCAAGAAAGTAGAGTGGAATATACGGGACCTCGGGTGACATGTGAGATATCTGTCAGATATCTTAATTTAATTAAATAAGATTTGTGTGTACAACAGAGGCAGAATTGTGTCATTTTAGAGGCCTGGGTAAATACCAGTATGGAAACAAATATTTTGATTTATGGAATAGATTACCGGGTGACATAATAGATGTGGGATCCCTTGATTGTTTCAAGCGCAGGTTAGACATATGTATGAGTATTTTTTGTAACAAAAATAATTATTATAACATTTGATTGATCTGTGAATCAGTCGCACATTCTCTCCTTTCCAGTACAAACCACATAATCTACTAGGCGCTACCTGTTCTCCCTACCACACTCTGACCACTTGTTCTCTCTACCACACACTGACCACCTGTTCTCTCTACCACACTCTGACCACTTGTTCTCTCTACCACACACTGACCACCTGTTCTCTCTACAACACTCTGACCACTTGTTCTCTCTACCACACACTGACCACTTGTTCTCTCCACCACACACTGACCACCTGTTCTCTCTACCACACACTGACCACCTGTTCTCTCCACCACACACTGACCACCTGTTCTCTCCACCACACACTGACCACTTGTTCTCTCTACCACACTCTGACCACTTGTTCTCTCTACCACACACTGACCACTTGTTCTCTCTACCTCACACTGACCACCTGTTCTCTCTACAACACTCTGACCACTTGTTCTCTCTACCACACACTGACCACTTGTTCTCTCTACCACACACTGACCACTTGTTCTCTCTACCACACACTGACCACCTGTTCTCTCTACAACACTCTGACCACTTGTTCTCTCTACCACACACTGACCACTTGTTCTCTCTACCACACACTGACCACCTGTTCTCTCTACAACACTCTGACCACTTGTTCTCTCTACCACACACTGACCACTTGTTCTCTCCACCACACACTGACCACTTGTTCTCTCTACCACACACTGACCACTTGTTCTCTCTACCACACACTGACCACTTGTTCTCTCTACCACACACTGACTACTTGCACTCTCCCACCTGTTCTCTGCCACACCACACTGACAACCTGTTCTCTCTCTACCACACACTGACCACCTGTTCTCTGCACCACACACTGACCACTGTCCGCTCTACCTCACACTGCCCACCTGTTACTCTGCACCACACACTGACCACCTGTTCTCTCTACCTCACACTGACCACCTGTTCTCTCTACAACACAATGACCACCTGTTCTCTCTCCCTCACCACTGACCACCTGTTCGCTCTGCACCACACACTGACCACTTGTTCTCTACCACACACTGACCACCTTTTCTCTGCCCCACACACACTGACCACCTGTTCTCTCTCTACCTCACACTGACCACCTGTTCTCTCACCACACACTGACCACTTGTTCTCTCTACCACACACTGACCAACTTGTTCTCTGCACCACACACTGACCACCTGTTCTCTACCTCACACTCTGACCACTGTTCTCTGCACCACACACTGACCACCTGTTCTCTCCACCTCACACTGACCACTTGTTCTCTCACCACACACTGACCAACTGTTTCTCTCTACCACACACTGACCACCTGTTCTACTGCACCACACACAGACCACTTGCACTCTCCACCACCCAGCACCTGCTTTACTCCACCACAGAAAGACTCACTCTTACCACCCACAACACACCAGCTTGTTGACTACTGACCATTAACCAGGAGTCTCCTCCTCCTCCCGCAGGTGGGGGCATCCACCCTCAGATGGTGCCCTACGACATGCTGACGGAGAAGGAGAAGCGCAAGGATCGATTTCCGCTCCGTGGAGCTCCTCAAGTACCTGCAGTTCATGGGATACCGTCTTACAAGGTGGGC